TTAAGTCCTCTCCTTTTTCAAATGAAGTCTTCCAACTGATTTAGCTCCGGCCAGTTTTTGAGGTAAACTGAGAGCTCTGTGTGTGTAAGCCAGGGGAGTAGCCTCATTGACTTACTTGCTCTGACTTCCTTTAAGGGCCTCAATTAACTGAGTAGTTGCTGGGGATGATGCCTCTTCCCTCAGCGCGAAGCCTCTTCCCTTAGCGTCTCCTGTGGAGAAATGCTTCATCATTCACCGTCACTGCTTTGGTCATGTTTTCAATCACTTCTGTGACTAGAAAGTTGGTAGTTTTAGTTTCTCTTGTGAATGCCTCACATTGATATAAATAGATGTTTCTGACTGGGTCATGAGGAAGCGACTACTTAACCCAGCACTTAACCTTTGAAATAGGCTGGCTATAAATTCTCCTTCCAGCAGAAATGTCCTTAGGGTAAAATGTAGGTGGTTTTGTCCCTAGTGTTTCAGATGTGCCTAAGCTGAATAGAGGTGTATCCCTCGGGGGTGATCCCAAGATGGGCCTAACTTGTCCATGTTAAGGCCCCCTGCTTTGTGTTTACCAGACTTCTCTACACATTTCCTTGGTGTGTTGCTCTTAAGGGAATGGGATCATGAGTGCCTGTCTCCTCTCTGCTGTGGACAGACTTTGGGCAGTGTTCATAATTTCTCTCAGCCCCACTTCTCTCATCTGTAAAATGGAGATAAGTAGAAGGCCCATCATAAGGAAAAAAGAGCCACACCTCATACATGATGGCAGTGATTATTGTGAACATATTTTTGCCTGCATCCATGTGTTTTCTTTCCTATTTCTAAGGAAGAGAGGGTGGCATGGTAGGGACTGGGCTTGAACCCTGGCCTTAAGTCTCTTACTAGCTGGGTGGCCCTGGCAAATCACTGAACTCTTCTGACCTTTCTTCTAGAAATTGAAAACTGGGACGTCACTCCTCATTAGCACAAGGGCCATAAGAATTAAAAACAATTCTCACAGACTGGGTGTGGTGGCACGTGCCTGTAATCTCAGCACTTGGGAGGCTGAAAACAGGAGAATCACTAGAGTCTGATCTGTGTAGTGAGACCTTGTAGACTTGTAGTAAAAAATACATAAAAATAAAATAAAATAGGGTGCTTGCGGGTTAGCTCAGTTGTTTAAAGCACCTGGTTGGGCAAACTCAGACAGGCGCAGGGGGCCGCGGTTCGATCCCTAGCTCCACATGCTGCGCCAGGCCCATGCTTAAGGCAGCCTGAGCCAGTCAAAATAAATAAAATGAAATAAAATAAAATAAAACAATTCTCACAGGGTGCCCTGCACACCTGTTTGCCTTCGCGCACTGTACTGAGGGATGGGTGGATGCATGGTCCTCGCACAGACCCATCTGTATGCTTGTACAGTGAGTGCTTCCTGCACATATAATGTCTTAGAAGGGTGGGCCCAAACAGGAACACTAATCAAGGATGTTAATGGATTTTTATTCAAATAAATTTCATTCTCCTTCTTTTTTTTTTTTTTTTTTTTTCGGAACTGGGGATTGAACTCAGACCTTTGTGCTTGCCAGGCAAGCACTTATTCTACTGAGCCATCTCCCCGGCCCTATAAATTTCATTCTGAAGAGTTACTCAGTTTCTTCAGAGCACCCCAGCTTGAAGATACCATCTTGGTCAATATTATAGGCTCTTCTTATAGTCTAATTTGACATTCGCCCTGGATACTTAAAGTTTGCCCTGGTATACTTAAAGTATATGAGCATATATAGGCACAGCTTGATTTACAGAGGCCAGGCGTCTGAGGACAGTCTGGTATGTGTCAAATGGCATTGACGGCCGTTATTTCTTTTCAGGGTCAAGTCACTGCCTTTCGAGGGCTGCTCACAGATACTGCCAAAGGAGCAACCAGTGAGCTTGACTTGAACACCTTTGACTGTAACCCAGATCCCTCTGTAAGTAGCTCAGATGTGTCTTCTGGCTTTTAAACTGCTGAAAATCCACGTGAACTTTAGAAATGCCACTATAGTCAGATGTAAAGTCAAAGGTCACAGCAACTTGTCAGCATTTATTTCACAAAGATCCTAGTTTTTCTTTCATACTATGAACCGATATGGTAATGCCAGCCTTGTTTTTCTTCTCCTCAGGAACGATTGCTGAAGCCTCTGAGTGCATTTATTGGCATAAACAGTGAGATGCGAGAGTTGGCAGCGGTGGTGAGCCGGGTAAGATCTACTACTCAATTCACAAATTTACCAAAGCAGATCGGTGCTCCTGGAGCATTGTGGGCTGCTTCTTTTATTAATAACAATAAATATGATCATTTATTTATAAAGTGCCCCTACTTGCAAAGGCACTCATATTGTTTAGAGGCACAATAATGCATGATAAATAAATTATAGAATCATAAAATTACAATAGAAAAAGCCCACCATCTCACTGTAGAGGCCAAGAAAACTGAGAGAGAAAATACTTAGAAAGGAAAAGACAGGTGAAAACTTGTACAGCAGGGCCCAGAGTCAAGGAAAGAAGCTTAGAGAAGCAAAGGGTGTGCCTGCTCCTTGTTTTAAAAAAATGAAAGACTAAAAGAGGTCAGGGACTGATCATCTCATAATCAGAAATTTCTATGAAAAACAATATTGTTAGGAAAGATTCTACCACCCACATTGCAGATCTCTCAAGCTTGTGTCCTGAAACCTAACAACAGTGAAGTTTAACAGCTAATAACATGGGCTTTGGAATGAGTTGACCTGCATTTCATTTCCACATCCTTCTTTTTCTAGCTGTGTGAGCATGGTTAAGTTTCTTAGGATTCAATTCCTGAGCTAGAGGATATTTTTCTAATTTCTACTGATTCCATATTTTAGGGCAAGATAAGAAAGATGCTTAAAATGACCCCCAAACACACTGCAGGCTCAAGAAAGTAGGGTCCTGGCTCCTCTGTTCAGTTGGGCAGCAGCCCACTGCTCACCCATACTGTGTCAGTCACATACAAAAGGCTGGCAGAAAAAGGAAGCAGAGCAGACACAGTCCTTGTCTTCAAGAATTTCTGGTTGTACGGGCAAAGGGCATTTGAGCACATGAAGGAGGAGCATTGTTCACCAAAGGATGGCTAAAGTGCTAGGAAAGAAGCTACACCAGAAAGGGCTCAATAAGAAAGGGTGAAAGACACTAGGGGCCGAGGCACATGCTGTGAAATTGTGTGGTTTGTGCACACTTGTGGGGGTTGAGCAAGAGGCAGGGAGTGGTGAGTGTAGGACTGGATAGAGGCAGTATTCCTGAGGAAGGGAACCTGGGCAGAACTGGGGACTGGACATTAGTTTCTAGAGGTGAGGTGCCTTTGAGTAGTGTCCCTCAGGGAGGGAGGTCATCCAGTGTGCTTGTAGATAGCTCGTTCCTCTAGGGACATTGAGATGGATGGATAGCAGAGCAATGGAGAAGGGGAGCCCAGTGTAATGTGGTGTCTACCTGTGAGAAGGGATGAATGACTGCACCTGACCATGGTGGCTGGGATGCAGGATAGGCGAACAAACTCTCTTTTATGCCCACCAAAATCAATAGTCGCATTACTATTTTTGCAAAAGGGTAATTTGATAAAATATAGAGCCATATAGAATAGAAGTAACCTGAAAATACTCTTATGGAATCTTCTCCATAATACCATGGGAGGTAGTCATCAGACTACCTTGCTTGAAGGCTTCTGATGCTGAGGAGATCACCATTACGAGGTAGTCTTGGGGAGTATGGACTGGTGAGTGCAAGGAGGGATTTTTTTCCTTTTCATTTAAGGAAGGACTTTGAATTGGGGAATTAAACATTATCTTCTGGAACTCAGTGTAAATTTTAAAATACAATTATCAATGGATGGGTTGAATACTAATTGTTATGATTTATGGCTAGCTGTTCCCCCAGAGCCTCATGTAGTCATTGGGGCAGGCTTCTAAAGTTTGTGATTAATTCATGATTTAATGCTAGGATTATGGGTGTGAGTGTTACACCTGCCCTAGGGTAGGTAGCCTACATACAATATAAGGAAGGGGGAGAGGCTTGCTAGCTGTTGCAGCCACTGCTCCTCCCTTTGCTCTTTGCTGTTTTCCACTGTTATGAGCAACTGCCCTCTACCGTGTACCACTCTGCCTCAGAGCAGCCAAGTATGAACTGAAACCTCTACTAATTGTGAGCTAATTAAATCTCTTATTTCTTAATTTTGGGTGTTGGGTATTTTGTCCCAGCAATGAAAGAAAAGTAACTGACATTAATGTAGATGAATCCTCATTGTAGGCCAAGATTTCCCTAGGAAAAGCATAATACGAATACAAATAGCTGGGGGCTTACACATAGACCAAGATTAAAGGCTGGGTAGCTTCTCTCAAGATTTTGGAAGATTGAATCCTTTCTCTGGCATCTTGTTCAAGAATGGATGGTGCACATTATGGAGACCCTCGATCACTTCTGTAAATAGTTTCCTTCATAAAAGTGGAACTCCTATGGTGGAGGCACTGGGCAGAGGGCAG